GTGCAATCTCTTCACAATTCTCATTGGCCACTGCAGGGACGGAATCTGTAGCAGGATGCCGATACCACTTTCAAACGCTCTGGCTTCTGACCAAACAGAACAGAGTGGACAAAATGACCATTCAGAGTATTGATGTATACATCAATTTGTTTTACTTTCAGATCTTCAGCCAGCTGCTCAGCCCATGGTTGTCGAGTATTAGCACAAGGCTTGAAGAGTCAGAGAATTTACTACTCTCTGGAACTGTCATCACTTGACAATTCCTAATGAGGATTCTTGGCCTGCCTAACCAGTCCTAGCCAGTCTTAACCACAAAATTCAACATCAGAGGTTTGCAAAGGATTATCTAAACAAGACTGATGCATTTTGGAAACAAGTGCCATGGACTGATGAAGTTAAATTAGCGCTTTCTGGCCACAATGAGCAAAGGTATGTCCAGAGAAAAAAGGGTGCAGAATTTCATGAAAAGAACATCTGTCCAACTATTAAGCATGGAGTTGGATTGATCATGCTTTGGGTTTGTGTTGCAGCCAGTGGCATGGGGAACACTTCACTGGTAAAGGAAAGAATTTGTTCAATTAAAAACTAGCAAGTTCTGGACAAAAAAAAACATCTGCAAAAAGGTGAAGGTGAAAAGAGGATGGCTTCTACAGCAGGATAACGATCCTAAATGCACCTCAAAATGCTGCCTCAAGGACTACCTCAAGAGGCTAAAGCTAAAGGTTTTTTCCATGACCCTCACAGTCTCCCAACCTAAACATCATCAAAACTATGTGGATAGGAAAATTCGCCAAACAACAACTGAAACAGACTCTTAGGTGGCTTCAAAAATCAATTACATGCTGTGATACTAAGTACTGACCATGCAGGGTGCCAAAACTTTTGTTTCAGGACTTTTGTTTTATTATTTTTTTAATTTCTTTTTTGTTATTTTGAAACTGTACAAGACATACATAAAAAGTACTCTTGCTTAAAATAAAGAAATGTGTAATCTTTAAATTTATACCTTTTGGAAATCAGGTCATCTTTTACTTGCTTCACAGTAACTTTTTTGCAACCCAAACTTTTGCATGCCACTGCATGTAGGCATCAATTAGCTTCATTTTCTGATCTTGGTTGGTTTTCTGATGGTTGTTGAGTGTTATTAAGACTTTACTACTCCCCAGAACTGTCATCAGTTGACAATTCTTAACCTGCCTAACCAGTCCTAACGCATCAATTAAAACCTATTGGGTAAATTAAGTTCTGAGACTACAACTGGAAGAGTATTCCAACTTTTGCACACAGCACAATATTGAATTTATTCAATTCTATTCTATTTTAATTTAATCAAGTACAAAGTAACTGTGCATGAACATTTGCAGAAAAACGTTATTTTTCAAAATAGTTTGCTGCAGAGGTTGTGTTTACTTCTTTTCACCTCAAAAATCAACAAAATATGTAATTTGCCCATGGTGCCTAAACTTTCCTCTGTAATATTCGACAGTACCGGTTCAGTTTTATTTTGACTGGAATGCCTAGGCTGATGCATTGTCCTTTCTTGATAGACTTTTTTTTGCATGTGTTTATATTACAGCCAATGGCCACTGTTGTAGAAGGAAAGAATTTTTAACACTGTTTGGAAGGAGCGAGTTATGTTTGTGATTGACCTAACACACACACTTTTACCTATCTGATGAGGTCAAGAGGTCCCTTGTAGAGCCTGACTGTAGCTCACCAAAGGCATCAAGTTGAGCCCTAGCAACTCCATTTTAATTTTTTTCTTTTTTTTTTTTATTAAAATTGAAGTAGCGTTACTTTGTTTGGTAATTGGAAATCTATGTGCAACTTAAGAACAATAATCTTAACAGGTATAATCAATCTACACTCTTAAAATAATGGTTCACAAATTGTGTGGACATATGATTCTAGGCAAAACCTTTAGTTAATATAGAGCCTTTACATTAAATAGTGGTTCTTTAAACTTGAAAAAAAAAAAATGTTCTCCACAATTGTAACATGCTCTTACTAAAAACAAAATGTTCTTTAGAAAAAAGCACTTTGGGTTTTCTATGGTTTTGCTTCAATGAAACCTTATTGGGAGCGTTTAATTTTAAGGGTGCATTGGTGCGTTTAAAATAGAAGGACTGCCCCCAAACTGTAGGCTGACACAAATCATCAGACAAAATCACGCAGTGTACACTTATGGCCAGTTTTGTGGACATTAATTAAGCCCTAAACCAAGGCTGCACTACACATGTAGAAAAACAACAGAATCAACAGAACAGCAAATATCAATGATCATGGACAAAATTCAGGCAGACAACCATAGCCACAAAGTTAGGTCTTAACTGTCCGCCATTAAAGATGATTTTTACCTTAACCCAATGCACTTAAATGGCTCACTGACCCTTTCCAATGAATGGCTAATGTGACAGACATGGAGAGGAAGCCAGCTGAGTGCACTGAGGCAGGCCTTTGATATTACTTTTTGACTTCTTTTTCTGACAAAGGTCATATTAGAATGAACTATTTAGTTAAGTTCTGTTTGATTTCTTCATGTACATTTTTCAACCAGTGGTTTGCCAAAAATCAAACATACACAGTTTTCCCCTTAACCCAATCATAGTCGATCAGCTGAGACATGTTTGGTGTCTTAAGCTTGCTTGTTTAGTTTTGCACTAGAGCTACACGTCTAATGTAACTTATAAGTAACAGACGTTTATGACCACAAGTTTAACAAGTACAGACTGCATGCCAAAATCATTGAAATTTTTTTATTATTTATTTTAATTTTTATTATTATTTAACTATGAAAAAAAGGCAAGTACTTTGCATAGCAAGTATGTGATGATTTACGTGTGCAGTTTGCACCAGGCTAACCATGAGGACACAATGTCCTCCACAAATACTGGCACCCCTGGTAAACGATCAAAAACAGGCTGTAAAAAACATTCTTTATTGCTTATTCTATTGATCTTTCATTCGAAAAATATTAAGAAGAATCTTACCTTTATTTGAAGTACAATGATTAAAAGAAAAAAAATCATTTTTCTCAAATCTGTGTGAACCACAATTGTTGGCAATCCTTCATTTAAGACTTTGCGCAGTCTTCTCTTACAAAGCTTAATGGAAGAGGAGAACACATGGCAAGGGATCTGTGACCATTCCTCCATACAGAATTCTCTCTAGATTCTAAAATCCACACTTGTGGACTCTGCTCTTCAGCTCATCCCACAGGTTTTCTAGAGGGGTTAGGTCAGGGGACTGGGATGGCTATGGCACCTTGAATCTCTGGTCAGAGAGACATTTTTGTGTTGATCTTTGCCTTGGATCATTGTCCTGCTAGAGGATCCCTATAGAATCTGGCTGCAGACATGCACTCTCTGCCACAATGGCAGAAGCAGCCCAACGGCACGTAAATTTTGGCTGCTGCTGCTTAGCAATATCATCACTTAATCTGTTACAGTTTTTGATAACCGGTTCTAATCATCCTCAGCATGGCTTTCATGAGTTTCAGCGGTAGCCTTTTTGTTTTTTCTGCGAATAAACCTAACATTCATGTCTTATCGTCGTGGTAGGTTTTATTTTGAAAGTTTCTGTATTTGATTAGCTTATTATCAGTACGGCCATGTTAATATACATTCAGTGTAACTCTTGTTGCCCAGCAGTACATGGTTTGCCATTTTTCCTCATAAAACTGACAAAAACACTGTCGTGGCAGAGCGTGCACTGACGTCATCAATAGGCTGGCGGTGCATGTCAGGCTGAAAGTGCATGTCTGCAGGCAGAACCACGGCCCAATTAGCCAATAAGCTTCCTGGCTGAGGTAGTCAGGTTCTAAAGCAAAACTAAAGCAAACTTCGGCCAACAAACATGTCTTGGCTGATCGACTACATTTGACGTATACACATTTGATCTAATGCTTTAAGGAAAGCTGAACTTCTTTAGGAACCTAGTTCTGTTTCAGAATATAGCACGTTTACGGAACACTAAAACACCTTCTGCCGTCCTGAAGAGACAATTTTAATATATAAATCTCCTACTGTAAACATTCCACACTTACCAGAGTTGTTCACTGACAAAACACAACAAACACAAACCGTAGACTAAAAGGTTGACACCAAAATACACGATACAGACACAACAAACACACACACACAAGATGGAATGAAAACACAGTGACAGAATCACAGACACAACGAAATAACGAAACACCAAAGAGGAACATCAAAAACTGAACCCCACTCACCACTCAGATTCAGCTCACTCTAGGCACAAACACATCATGAAAAAACATGGATAGTGGATGAACAACAACACACATCAGTGCATGCACTGGTGTTTAGAATCAAATGTACTCGCACAAAACAGCATGTGTGAGCGGTACATTATAATGTGTCAGTGTAATTACAAGACAGCACTTCAGAAAGAAGATAAAGAACCCACAGGAAAAATAGGAAAATATGTGTAGTAGCCCTTACTCTGAACTTTGATTATTTAATGCTAATTATTTCATACCTTTTGTGTAAATACAACTCAAAGTAATCTAAAGACGTTATGTATTACATTTTGCCCGTGGACTCTTTTTTTCAATGCTGTGTGAGTACACCTCTGTTAAATCCAAAATAAAAAAGAATACACACTCACGTCACGAAAAACAAAACCAAAACTGCAACAAAATCAGACAACTGAATTTGTTCCAAAAATACCACTAAATGAAACTGACGATATGGCGAGAAATTAAAGTGTCTGGCTTGAAACCATGACCACATCTATGGTTAGTAAAATCAGCCAGCCCACTAGCACAACAGCAACAATGAACTTTTAAAGAAAACCACAGCTACGTACAGAAACTGTACGAAAGCAACAAAAAAGTACAGATGAAAAAAAAACCCACAACGACAAACACTAACAACAAAAGCGTATCTAGAGACAGATACACAATGAGAGATATGTGTGTATAGAGAAATATACGGAGAAGAAGGAGAAAAATAGATGTACGTGTTGCAGATATTTACTGTTTCATCATAGTGCCACACTCCCTGGCCATCCGGAAGCTCAGAGCTCACACTATTGTCCTGATCGATTAGCCAGCGGTGAACAGCGTGGGCCTAAAAAGGACACACGACATAAAAACAGGAGGGCCGTTAAATCTTAACAGGTTAAAGTGACAAAAGAGAGGGAAAGAAGGGAGGGCCTGTCTGAATGACTAAAATTTAGCATTCCAACTTACTTCCTACTTCACTTTAAGGTGATCAGAAATTTCTGGACTTGAATTTCCACCTAGTCTGCAAGAAAGGCTGGCTTAATGCATTTTGTCCAATAATTTCTGAGACTTTTGACTAAGTGTTGTATATCAAAATATAGTACTGCAAACTTCTAGCTCTTCCAGCTGATCTTATGAAAAACTGACCTACCCATGCCCTGTCAACAAATAAGTATTTTTCACAGCTCCTGTTAATGGGTTGGGCAAACTTTACAGACCAAAAAATCAATTTGTTAATATTTTTTAAACAGAAGAGTAATTAATTAATTTAAATTAGTATACTGTATATTGATTTTTAAACAAGGTTTTTGCCATCACATGTTTTTGCAAAAAACATCAGATTTACCAGCTAAGCAGAAAGTTCACTGGCTTTACCTGTTTTAATATTGATAGATAGTCAAGTTAGTGTTGTTAAGTTACTCTTCAGAGATGTGCTGACAACACATACACAACAATACTTAACAACTGATGTACATCAGGAACGTCAACCTACTCAACAACGACTGAGACAGACAAAGAGGCTTAGCTAGCAACCAATACCACTTCGCCTTCCAATCAGATGTTTATTGTTAAATATTAGATGTTGATTACACGACAAATAACATCATTGAAATTAATATCACACTCTAAATTTACTATGCACTAAAATTTACCACTAATTCAAATTTCAAATGTTCTGTTAACTTGTCCAACCTGGCAACAGTCGCTAAGAAAGAGTGCATACCTTAGCATGGAAAGGCCAAATAAGTGAAATTCTAATAAATCTAGTTGAATTAACATGATTAATTCATGTTTTGAGAAAAGCTAAAACAGTTAAATACCCTCCCTAGCTTTAATCTTAAGGATCTGTAACTTTTCTTGAGGGGTTTTATGCAAACTTACATGAATTTTGTAATTGTGAGATCCTTCTGAGTTTGTAAAGAGGAAGAGAGCATAGAACCTACTCTTTACTATTCAGTCAGGACAAGAATGAGAAGGAGGTAAAGTAGAAATAGAAGGAAGAGAAACAAACATGAGAAACAGGGTCACAGTGAAAGGGAAAGGGAAGAACTGTAGCAAAGAAAAGGGACAAAGGAAGAAGGAAGCATCCTTTTGCATCCCATCCCAGCCACCATCTTCTTCCTCCTTCATGCTGCAATTGAGATTAAAAGTTAGCTTTTAGGTCGTTTAAAGCAACAAGGGTTGGACATCACACGCCACAGGCCAGTGAGAGTGTGAAGAGATTGCTTGAGAAGCATTCTTGAGACTAACGCAATAAATACCAAATCCCAGGACCTTGTTTCATGTCAGGTCAGGCTCAGTGAGCTGTGAACTGTGCCAGACAGCAACAAGCCAAGGTTTCAGCAAGAAGGGGGCTAGTAGAAATTACTTGTTTGTCACACAAATACAAAAACTAAAGCCCATCTTTCATTTTTTTAATTTCTCAAAGAGCAGATAAGATTTAAACAGCAACTCAATTAAGAACGTGCTTTTTGCACAGATTTCTCTCTATCTGTGCACACACATACACAGACATACTGCACAACAAATCCTTGCAATTTACAGTCATTGTCCAACGATTCATTGTGAAAAGCATAATATTCAAATGGAAATACTGGTAAATGAACTAAAAAAAGACCTTGTAATTTTTAAACCTACTGATTATTGCTGCCTATCAAAGACAACATTCTGAATTTCAGGAAGCAGGACTATAACAAAATATCCCAGCACTGACCCAAACTCATCAAACACCACTGTTCATTGTCCTCCCTAGGCTAGAATACTTGTCATTTGGTATGACTCAACTACTAATATTAATGGCACAATAGAATGGCCTATGCTGCTGACTGCATATACCAACACAAAGAACAATGACAGTCAACCAGGACAACAGGACATCTGCTCTTTTTGTTGTGTTCACAGTATTAGAAGCAAAATCACAAGAAAGGAGGGGAGAGAGAGAAAGAGAGAGAGACAGAGAGAGGCACAGAGATACAGACTGGATCCCCCTGCGGTGTTTGGGATGATTTGTAAAGCGTGTCAGATTTTGAATGTAAGTGGATTACAGATTAGTCAGGCAGGAGCTGTGGGTGAAAGAAGCAGGGGGGCAGTAGGGGGTGGTTTGGGGATAGGGAACTCCGCGCAGGTGCTGATCCACCGAAGGAAAGAAAGGCTTGATCACTTTTAATTTGTGTGCAAAATGTGAACGAGAACACAAAAATAACACAGAGTCTGCAATAGGCACTGTATACGCAAGACTGGAGACTCCCGCACAAGAGCCTGAATAGGCAGAAAAAATTGAGCCTTTGAAAAAACGGCCCATTTCCTTTAATTACTTTTGGTAACTTAATCAACACTTTTGTCAAGAAGTCTTTAGCGTTGCTTTTCTATCCACTGATAACCCCAACAAAGGTGTTATTATGAGTTGCATAATACACAGCATATTGCCTCTCGCAATTGTTCCTTGAGAGATTTCCAGCTATACACAGGCAAACAGTCAGTTTTATTAGGTGCAATCTGTAGGTATACATGTACTGATGTCTTTTACATGCACAATCTGTGCTATTCATCTTTTAGTCCAGTGCTTTTCACAAGGGCCTCAGACATCCATGCTTGCTCAATCCCAACTTCCAACAAATAGGGCTCGTGCAGATATGGACATCTTGGGGGCTGGGGTGAGGGGGGTGCTGAGCACCGGTTTTGAGAACTGCTGCTCTAGCCCTTTATTGCTGGTCACTTTCTGACTACAGCACCATTGGTGACTGGATAAAACTACTGTGTTTGTGTCACTATTATGCTAAGAATGATCCGTCACTCAAATAATAACCCCAAAGTTTTGTCTAGACTACAACAAGGACCCCACTTTCCATAATTATCCAGAGGGGCCTTTAAAGAAAGAGAAACACAGTCAGCAGCACCTGTCTCTGCAGAGGACAATAGCGTTAAACCTTGGCTATACCTGGTCGGCAGTGGTACCTTTCCAGAGCCAGAGAACCAGACAGCTTAGATATGTATATTTTACTGTGGCATTGAAGAGCAGTTGTACACACTGAATTGCCAGCTAGGCACATCTAACTCGTTGGCCATTTTATCACATGGCTTGGCTCAATGGGGAAGAAAGGAAGAACCTTTTAATTAGTTTTGGAACATTTCATATTATGTGGATGCCCTTTAAACTTCACACTTGCTCAGTTTCGACCATAGTTCTTTAAAGAACTGTCTTCCCAGGAGTGTCACTGTAATTTGTGTGCATGCAATTACTGACGGTAGCACACATGTGTCAACCTCCTGTCCTCCACTCCAGGCCCATGCGTTGCTATAAAAATGTTTGTCTACAACCCTCTACCCTATCTATGGACAGGGGTCTGGACCCACAACTCTGCATAGTGCTCTAAGACTACTAACTTCAGTGCATGGGGTTTATCCATGTATCTGCACTGAAACATCACCTCAAAAATATCAATCAAAAAAAACAAACAAAAAAAAACAAAAAAACAAAAAAAACTCATTCACACAAAATTTCAATATTTTGTAAAGTACTTGGAATACTAAGTCCTACCCATAAAATTCACCAAAATCACCATATTAAGGAAAAACAGAAAAGTTTTCCTCACTCTTTTAAAATAAAAGAGTTTGATGTGATATGTAAATAAGTTTCAAATTTCAAGTTTATTTATCATTTGCACATGTCAAGACATTCAGGCACTGAAATGCTTGCTTTATACAGTGCATATATGGAAACTAAGCTGCAAAACAGCCCATTTTTAAAGTAATTGTTGTCACACATTCATCTAAGCCCACAGCAGTTTACCTCCTCCCATTCACACTGAAGTTATCAGGAGTGTATCAGTCAAAACTGCTTTTTGAATGAGGCACAACACAGGGCAGCCAATCAGCTCTAATGTGTTTACAAATTGTCACTGTCTCACAAAAAAATCTTGTACCTCTATATTTGTCATTTTTTTGGCAGAATTTGAAAATTCAAGCTACCCTTTGCATTGTGTTAAATGTTAATGAGAAATGGACCAATAAAAGTGGTCTATAATTACGTGGGAAAAAATATTGTCATATTAACTTTAATTATAAGTTAAGAATGAAAGAAGAAGTAGAAGAGTTTTCTCTTCTACTTTAAATATTTTGGAGATACAAGGTTTTGTTTTGACAGCGATGATATATATTGGACTTGAATGCAGAGTAACAAAAACAACCTGTTTAATTCTATAGGATAAAGAGGTTGAAAAATTGTCAGGTAAAAATGAATGACTGTTTTTGTCACATACATCTACAACCTTGTCGTAAGTGCACCTCAAAGAAAACAGTAAGATGCAAGAAGAATATAGCATATTGACTCTTTAAGGTTTAAATTCCAATTTTGCCGTTTAGGAAGGTTAATTGTAACAATCAATCAGAATCACCCAGTGTCAAGGCCCTTTTGTAGTAAGAATCGTGTTTCTTGAGGACACCAGCCTAGAGAGAAAGTTGTTGCTTTTCAATATTAATCAATCACTCACTCGTCATCATGCACAATATTGCAACTGCAGCACTGAGATTCGGGAATACCAACTGCACAGTCATTGACAAAGACAGAGCTTGAGGCTATATTTTCCAAGTTGCTAAATTGCTAGCACCCTGACTTAGCTCCACCATGTCTGTATGTTACAATAGCTGTGCCCGTGGAGTACATTCCAGTGTGGATTTAGAAAAATTGCTTCAGATTACATAATCAAGTGTTTGGGAACTGGAATATGAAATTTAGTGCAGTAATCCTTTAATGCTGACGCTTTTGTCTTTGAAGTTAAAAAAGATACTTTTTTTTGAACTTATAAAAGATACAGCTAAAAATAACCCCAAAGTTTTGTCCAGACT